CCGGCTCAGGTGCCCCTAGGTGTCCTGCGCTCCTCCTGCCGCCGGCTGGGGCTCCCAGGCTCTGGCACTGTGCTGCTCTTCCCAGCACAATCTTCATGCCAGCAGTGCGGCCAGGAAACAGCTTGCAAAGCCAGTGAGGCAGCATGCTGGCAAAGAGCAGTCCCTGCCCAGCCCCTGCTGCAAACATCAACACCCTCCTGAAACTACATGGAAAAATAAAACAGGTGTGTTTGTTTTGAAAATAATTTGTAATTGGTAAGTTTCAAGAAGCTGCATGCACCTTTCTGGTTATCTGTGTTGCTGTGGAGATACTAATGGGACAACCAAGGGGCTTATGTGCCAGTCATGCCTGGGCCTCCAGAGAGCAGAGCTGCCAAAATCAAGCAGCTGAATAAACAGTGGTTTATCTGGGAGGTGTATGGGGAGAAGGAGTGGTAGTAGTTGTGTGTTGCAGCAGGAAAAGTTCTGCATGGGTATGAGGAACACACTCCACAGGAGACTGCTCGTGATGTCTCCAGCCCTGGAAGCCTCTCTGTTGTGACTGGACAGGGCTTGGGCAACCTGACCCAACATTGAAGGAGGAGGTTGGCGTCAATGAGGTCCCTTCCAGCCCAAATTATTCTGTAGTTCATTGTGTGAAGGGAAAGTTAATAGTAAGAGAATGATCTGTATATTGTAATTGCAAGTGGCTATAAGCTTGATTAGACTATTAATAAGTTACAGCAACTTCAGGAGTACTGTTGCAAAGTCAAGTTGTTTGGAAGTGGAGAGGAAATGAATTAGCATTGTTCCTCTTTTTTTTTTTTTTTTTTTTTTTTTAAACAGGGAGTTAAAGAGTTTGCCTTCTCAACTCAAGGCCAGCCTCTGACCTGAGGAAACCTCTGTAAGATTGTGGTGGCAGACTGCTCTAAGTGGTTTAGTACTGTATTTAACTCTGCATGTTATCTCTTTCTGATTACACTGGTGGCCATGGGTCAGCCTCAGAATTCGCCTGAACTAAGAAATGATTAGCAGGTTCAAAGCCATATATTGCTGGTGTTGAAAATAGATGTATACATATCTAAATGAAACCCATGTTGTAATCACTGCTCTGTCTCTGTTTTTCTATGAAAAAGAAGTAAAAGGGTTTTTTAACTTTCCAGTTTAGACACTTTTATCACTCATTTTTGCTTCCAGAGACCTTATCAGGAGTGGCTTGTTTGTTTAAGTGACTTCAATATTTTTCTTTGTGAACCCTTCCTGTCCTGTGTTCGAATCACGTACATTTTGGCTGTGTTGTTTTTAATGTTAAGGGCGATCTTTTTGCTCCTCCAGAGCTTGTTTTTATCACATTACAGCTCTTAGGATATAGCCTATGTGTGCAGTTAGCAAGGGCTGATGCTCTGGGCTTTTTGTATTTTTTTAGTTTTGGTTTGTGGTCATTCTTCTTTGGATAGTTGCAAAGCATATTTGCTATTAGTTGTGCCATCATCTCAAATCTATAGACAGTGACAGCGTATGGTATCTCGTACAATCCTGCCCTGAAGCATAGGGTGTATGCAGTACAGTTTGAAAGAGGATGGATGTGGTGTCAGTTGAAGTAACAAGCTGTTTGCTTTTGAAAGCTTCTCTTTTGCAGATGGTTTCTTACAGTAGCGAACTCATACCCTGTTAAAGCACTGCATTTTGTTGACATTACTTTTACTGTTAAAAATACAAGAGTGGTAAGAAATTAGCACTGCCATTACATGGGGACTGCAGCCTTGTGCATGACTGGTGGCCCAGAGATATCGTCTGGACTGTCCCATGAGTTTTGTGTGGTAGTGGCAGGGTCAGGAAGGGAGGAGTGAGAGTGTCTCCTTGGGGCAGAGGAAGAAAAAGACAGGAGGAACAACAACAGCAAAGTGTTTGCAGAGCCCTCCTGGGCTGCCAGACCTCCACTGGCCAGGAGCTGGGGAGGTCTGTCCTGCCTTGGCTCATGTCTGAAATCACAAACAGTTTTGTTTGTTAATGTGATCCACTGGATGGGTGTCTGTCTGCACTGATTAATGATTGCAGGGCTTAAATGCTGCCAGGGAAATATAAAGACTATAAAGAAAATGGATTTTTTTAAACAAGCAAACAGCCTTCTGGGTTTGGTGTGGTGGGTGGTTTTTGGTCTGGTTTGATTTTGTTTTGTTTTCCCCCCACTGGCCTTTGTTTTACCCACTGGAGACATGCATTTCAGGAGAGGCTCTAGGACTCTCTGCTCCTGCCCCATGTGGCCTATTGGTATGTGACCCATCACCAGGCTCCCAATCCTCACTGAGACACCAGACCCACTCCCTGGCCCCTAGGGATTCAAATATGAGCACTGTATGCTTTGCTTTCAAGTAGTAAAGGTTTTCTTTGCATCCTTGTCTTAAGATCTGGAAAATAAAACACCTTTCAGTTGGTCCATCATGCACCATGCTGCCAAAGTGTATTCTTCTTGCCACTTTACATTTCCCTGTGTATTGAATTGAAATGTCACTATCTAGACTCAGACCACATGTGCACCTTTCTGTTGAGGAGTGCTCACCCACAGTGAGGAGCTCATGGATGCTGGATCACCTCTAACAAAGAGGTGCACTAATACGGGACAGTTTAAGAGTGGGAGAAGGACTCTTACAGTGGTATTTGTAGTCCTGCTATAACATGGTTGAATCTGGATCGGGGTAGAGGAAGGCTGTTATTCTGTATTTGTGAAATCTACATTTCAAGTTTCCTCACTTTGAAGCCTATATTTTAAATCATTATATTTTAATGAGAAGTTTGTGTTTACAATTTTGACATATGTTCTACCCGTGGTCTGCCCATGTGGTGTGAAGTCTACTTGAATTTGTTGCTTAATTTAAAATTGTCATTTATTTCGGACATTCTCTGTTGACAGTTATTTGTGTTTTGAAGAGGTTATACAATCACTTGAGAGATAAATGCTCCCTCCGCAGTGTGAGATTAAACTTTCATAGTGGAATATACACATTTTTAAGAGTGGACTAAATGTAATCCTTCTTTCTTTGTGCAGACAAATTCCGAGTGTTGCAATCATTTAAAATTAATTATTACGGGAGAAGGCTTGAATTCTTCTTCTTCTCTTTTTTTTTTTTTTTCGTTTCTTTTTAAATGCAGAAGACTTGCATATTCCTTCACAGTGTGGGCTGCATCCTAAAACAAATCCTGCCTTCAGTTGTTTGCCTGTCTCTCATGGACACAGGCCTCCTTTCATGAAAACAGTGTCTTGGTGACAAGTGCAACAAAAGCTTCAAGTAAAAGAATCATTGTGAAAATTGTAATATTTTCCTGTATTGCTTTGGAGTCTGATAGTGCATGGCCAGCTCAGTGACACTGACAAAGCACATTATCTGTCAGTGGTTGCCAGGTTAATCTGAGCATCTTTGGTACTAATATACATGATTTTGTTGTAATTTTCATATTTGAGTCGTTCATTTCACTGAAGCTTTGCTGTAGCAAAAAGCCATGCCTGAGCCTTTGTGAAACAGTTGGGCAGAGCTTTGGCCTTGGGTCCTTGATTTTTGGAATGGGGGGAAAGGTCCAAAAGAGTACAAAATTTTCACTTGTTTGATCAAACTGGTCCTCACAAAGTGCTGACACTAGTGTCTAGCAGGAAGGTAGATGAAACAGGCTAGAAACATACTATAAAGGTGAGTATCAAAATTTATTCTGTTTTAAATTTGTATTGATAGGAATTGTAATTGTGAGATGAATAATTTACTAAAGCATTTGACAGTTTTAATTTTAAAAGAATTTTGAGTTAGCAAACAAGTAAAGAATGGATGAAACATTGCAAATTCAAATTAGAGAATTCCTCGGATGGGTCCTCTGGTTTTGCTCTGTTGGTATTTTTGTGGTAGACATGGTAATAAAAGTGTTCCTATGAAAATACTCAGATGTCACGGAATATTTAAGTATTCCAGTTACTTAATGAGATTTAGATTCCAGTTCTACAATTCCCTTATGTGATAAATTATTTTGTAGGTAGGCATCTTTTTGATGTTTCATAAATGTCAGGCTTGTGCAAAGATAACTCCATATACTGTATGTGGATAAACTGTTTCAACAGGTTTCTAATATCAGAAATTTTGGGAGGCTTCTTTGAAAACAACTGTCAGAAGAATGGCGTCGTCTTCTCTACAGATTTGTGCATTGCTGCTGGCTTTAGCAGGATTCACCATTTCACTTGTTACTACAATGTCCAACAGATGGAAAATTTTGGACACCACAACAGTGCTGGTTACTGCAGACTGGACTTCTGAAGGTCTTTGGATGGACTGTGCAGTGACTGCTTTTGGATCAATACAGTGCAAGAAATTTCTCTACATGTTGAGTTCAGACAGTAAGTGTGCATGGCATATATATATGTGTGTATATATATATTAAAAAAAATCCATGGATGTAGTTTTATTCCTTCTTTCTGGACAGCATATTAGTGTGGTTGGATGGCATACACTGCAGTTGTCACAGAGGGTCTAGCATGGACAGGATTTGTCCTGTAGCACTCGCAGACAAGTTAAAGGGCCCTAGTGAAACCCACATGTTTGTGCTTTGGTCTGAGATGGGACTTCTTAGATATTCCAGAACTTGTTTGATACTTTATGCTAAATCTGTGTATTTGTTCAGCAATTTCTCTGAGGTGGTCAGCTTAACTTAAAATACGCCTGTGCAACTGATGCTTTTGCGTTTTCTGAGCAAAGCTGTGCTAGCAGGGTAGTTTATCTGCAAATAGAGAAGAATTGTCTTTGTAGGGACTGAAAATTATTTGTTTGGGTTGTGCTGGATTTTAAAAATACCTCTCTGTAAACAGCATTTTAATGGTAAAGGACTAGGAAGGACTGATGTTGAAGATATTTCCTCAGAAAATAGTGTAGAAACAGTAACAATACAGCCTTTGAAAACTGGTATTTTGTTAAGCTTTCTGTCTTAAACAGAACTTTGCATTTATTCTTTTACAACTTTCAGTTATCGTGCAGTCACTTTATGAGTTATGTCATGGAATAATTTTTTCAAGTCTTCCCTACTTTATAGATCCCTGATTACTGTCATTGCTGTTTGTCTGGACTCTTTCCAGCTGATTTATTCTTGATGCGCAGTGCTCAAAACTTAAAAGTACCACATCTTGCAGACTATGAAACTTGTTTTTCTTGACACAGACATGGACTCCACTTAAGTCAGAGCTACCTAAGGCAAATCTCTAAAATGTGAGAGTTTAACTCTCAAGAGTTAACTCTCAGGATTCAGCATACTTGTGGTCTTCCTCAGGGCCTTGGCTTCAGTGGCCTCATCTGCTTTCATAACGATGGTGCCAGTTTAAGTATCAGCATGCTGTAATGAGGCCAGAATCTGTAGCTTCAAAATGAGGCTACTCGTATGCTTCCAAGGATTTTGAAAACACTATTTATTGCATCAGAGACAATGTCAGCTTTTCATACCATTCTGGTACCTGTTCTGCTTCACATGAGGCTTCTTCTACGTAGATACCAAGATGCCCAAGGTTGACCTAGAAACTTGGTTATGATTTCTGGAAATTAGAGTGATGAGATGGGGTCAACAATCCTTCAGTTCTTGTACATGGTAGCAAGATGGCATGGATGCTTACGATGGTGTGGCAGCTCTGCCTTGCCTCCTGTAACAGGGAGAAATAGGTGTTTCAGCCCTGTTATAGAGACAAGCAGAGTGAATGTGGGACAGCCTCCTTTTTTTAAAAAAAGCAGTTGCATTACACCCAACATGGAAATAAAATATTCTGCAGTAACAGAAGAGTTGTTGGTGAACTGAAGCAGTCACATCCCAGGGATTCTCTTCCCTGCCTTCCTGAGACCCCCATAATTGGAAGAGAGGACTCCTGGTTGGCAGGGCTTGGTGGATCATCTTCTGCTGTTCAAAGAACTGCGTATCCCTTAAAAATCAGCACTGGGTGCCTTATGCCAACTGATGAGCTTGTCATGTGGCTGCCTGCAAAGTAATTGCTGTCTGTCGCAGGGCTGTTTCTCTTCTTGCAGTGCTCGGTCAGCATTCCTGAGTCTTGAAACTGATCTACAGAAGTGATCAACAAGGTACAACCCATGTTGATCCAACATTTAAGGTGTTAATGTTTTCAGTACTTTTTTCCCAACTGTATTGGCTGATCTGATTTTAAAAAATACTATTTCTGCCTGTAAACCCTCTCTCAACCATACTACATGCATATATGCTCTATTTTGAGAATATCAGAGGCATTAGGAGCAATTCCTCTCCTTGGGCATATATTGCTGTGGTCATGTATGGCCTCACCTTGGCATGTCTATGTTAGCATTTTACTTATATCAGGAGTACACTTTTGAAATGAATTTTCCAATTAGTCCCATTTACTGCACTTGGATTGCTTTGCGGAGTGGTCTTGGAGTGTGCAAATTGGTTTCCTCGTGGATGAAGCGAAGCAAGGAAATGTACTCCAGCAATGCACTTCCAGACTTCTAGCTGCTGATGGGCATTCAGTTCACCTGACCGCGTTACAGCAAGTCTGAAGGAAAGCTCCCAAGTCATGGATGACACTGATGTGAAGCTATCAGCACCAACCCTTTTATGCTGCTGATCAGAGCCTTCTGCAAGAGCAGCATTTGCTATTATGTCCATCTCTTATCAAACCATAGTTTATGAAATGTAGTGAACAATAGTGCTATGTTCTTCAACACCACCAAAGAGTAATTTTCTTAAGGGAATTATTAAAATGTCTGGTGCTACATGGAAAAAACTCATGCATTCCAGGTCTGCGGTTCAATATTCTCTGTTTATACATGTGCTTTATGACTGCCTATTGAAATAGCTTTGTTGATTAGGAATAGTTTTTTTTTTTTTTAAATTAAATTCTTAATTTTTTTTTATCCTTGGCAGGAGTATAAAACCTGGGGGTGCTTGATTCAAGGTCCCAACTAAGCTCAACTTTGAAAGTGCTGTCAGCAGAAGTGATTGCTGAGGTCACCAAGATAGCACCTGTGTATGGATGAATTAATTTTAACCTCTTTGAAAGGCTTTTAATGGGATGCAGATATTCCAGTATACTGGTACAATGTGTTAATTTTACTATGCCATCACTTTTCAAATTGCAGTAACTTAGCAGAAGGAGGGAATTCTGTAAAAGTCACCCAACGTGATCAATTCTTACCACAAACCATCTAGTTTCTTTAAAAGATTGGAGTACAAAGCTGCACAGGATCACACTGGCTGTGCTGCCAAATCTGTTCTTGTTTAAATTGATGGCCATGATCTTGGCTCCCAAGGGAGGATCGCAGTGGCACTGTAGTATCCTTTTGCAGCTCAACCTGCCAACCTACAGCATCAGCTCAAAGTGACCAGTGAATTTTGAAAAAATCCCAGATATCTGTTATGGGCAAGTTGTGACTCTCTTAACGGCTAATTCTCTGGTAGTCTTTTATGTAAATACCGTGCATCTGTTACCATGTTGCGTCATATCAGGATTATTTTATGAAGAAACTATGACTGCATTTCCTGGAGATAAGAGCAGGCTATCACTGCAGGAGATGGTTAACCCCATTTGGATACACAAGCAGTTTGAAGTGTTAACATTAGTGGGTGATGTGAACTGAGTCTATGATTTTGTCTAGTTAAGAGTAGAAGCAAGTAAACCAAGTTTGACATACTTCTACTTTGCCTAGAATATATTTTTTGGAAATAATAAGATATTCTGATGAACAGATGCAGTCAGGTGATATGTATTATTTTTCATGTAGCTGTTTTCCTTCATTATTTTATACCTTTGGAGATAGGTCTGTCACACTGGCTCATTCATTCCCTTACATTTCTTTTCCATGAAACATACGCTATTACAATTGTATTCCAGTGTAAGTGTGACTCTGTTCAAGACTGAATGTGTTTAACTATAGATCAATAGACTGTAAAATATTAATGGAAACCACTCATCCACAGACCTAACCTTCCCGAAAGAAGCAGGCAGTACAGTTGCTATGAACTACTTACCACCAAAACTCAAAAAAGTGTTCTAAATTTTACAGCATCAAAGGTCCTGTTCTTGAGCTTTCTTATGCTTGAGTCACCAAGAAAATACCACAGTAAAGCTTTTTGATCTGAGATCAATAATAAAATTACAAACAATTTTAATCTTGTGTAAACCCTAGTTGACATCAGAGGAGAGAGAGGAATAAAATATTTTTCAATATTTTCACTCTTACAAGGTATTTTGTAGAAATGCTGACTGGACTTTCTAGGCTGGGACTAAGAATAGGCTCATTTTGTCACTTCTCATTAGAAAAAGAATTAATATTGTCTTTTTTAAAGTGTTAATATCTTTATCATGAACTGCTCCCACTTCTTACTGTCATGCACTGTAAGCCTTATCTCTGGGGTAGAGCAAAGAGCAAAGGTAGCCTCATTTTGGAGTGAAACTCGGAGATAAAACAGCAAGGAGGCTTCTGAAAGGCTTCACTTGATTGTAATCTAATTATAGGGATATTTAACTGTTACTACTCGCAAGTATGAGTGCTGCGTTGGAAATTGTTGGCTTTCTTTTGTGCTTGGCTGGGTGGGCGCTTATTGGAGCTACTTTGCCGAATGATTACTGGAAAGTCTCTAGTATACATGGTAGTGTGATCACAACATCTACGTTGTTTGAAAACCTGTGGAAGAGCTGTGCAGAAGACAGCACTGGAGTATCCAACTGCAGAGATTTTGACTCTATGCTTGCATTGCCTGGTAGGTGACTTTGCACAGTCTTGTTTATATTGCTTAAAAATTTGTTGGAAAAAAGTAGAAAGGCTTTTGTTTTGGTAATGTGGTAGTACTGAAAAATAACTGTCCAAGGAGGACTTTGTGGGTTGAAGTAATAAAAGTCTCTTAAGCAGCAAAATGTGTCAAGCACATTATGAAAGCCTATAAAATAAGGCATATGAAGTCACTTATTTATTTATTTTAGTGGGCAGTTTAAATATGGCATACTCTCTTTTCTAGCATCTTGTGGAAGGAATTAGTAGGAGACATTTTTTATCACATCTTATGACAGTTCCATGTTTATTTGGAATTATTGTATAGGCCTTCTTTTGCAATACTTGATAGCTAATGTACTGTAGCTGGATTTTTTCATGTAAAAGGTAAGAAAGACTATTTATAGCTAAGAAGTGGTAGTGGTTTTTGCATGTTGAGACTTAAAATCTTAGATAATACAAGAAATACAATGAGTATATGTTTACATATTGTAAGTTATACAATGAGTGTATGTTATAAATTAATATACTTGTCAGGACTTGTTCACTTATGTCTTATTGGCTGTGGTTCTAAATGTCAGGAAATTTAGATCTGCTGTACTCTGTATCAGTTTTCATCAGAATTGTGGATTGTCTTCAGATACTCAACTAAGGAAATATTCTGTGGATAGTGAGCATGTTTATTGACAGTAGAGCTAGTTTTTATTAATATTGAATAATTTAGTATGTAGATACTTATCCCAGAATAAAAATGCCTTCCTACTGAGTTGAATCTACAGTAGGAGGTGGCTAAACTAGATAGGAGGATACTCCTAATCTGAAGAGTGTGTAATAGAGGATTAGTGGGAATGAGGTATTAAATTCACTTTCTCTCTCAGTCTGAAATAAACTGATGTTGTTGGCCAGCTCTGACACTAGTGTAGCGATTCTCTGAAACCGTGTCCAGTATTTCAGGAATAATATGTTATTTTAATCTTTCAGTGTTATCTAACAATTGGTTTTAAAATGCATGTGTGCAGTAAGAGGAACATAACCCTATTTATAAACTTCTTGGACTCAGCAATAGCAGGATCATGTCCATTGGACACTCCTCTGCAGAGTGCTTATGTGAGTGTGCATTTGGTTCATGTATAAACCACTTCAAGCGTTAGTTCATAACTTACTGCCGCTGACTCTAGGCAGCATCTGGCCATTGATGTATTTACGTGGTGTGCTGCCTCTGAGAGTGTCCTAGAGCTCCCATCTGTGCAGATGTGGGCAGTGGGGCCACATCGGGTCAGCATTTGGAGCTGCTGAGAAAGAAGGGTTTAAAGAAATCGGGGTGGTGGTGGTGGGGTGGTGTGTGTGCAGAAAAGAGCATCCTGAGTAGATGTGCTGCTAAAGCAAAAAAGAAAGGAAGGCAAGCAACAGCAGGGCTCCCGGAGAACTGCTGATAACAACATGGAGTCAGCAGAAGGAAAAAAATGGGGTCTGACAGAAAGTAAATGAATAGGCCAGGCTCTGAAAGTGAATTTGTGAAGATAAATTTGATCTGTTGAAGAAGAGATTGGTTACACTGTTGAGAAGATGGCAGTATCTTTGAGGGGTATAGGCAGGGGGAAGGGGAAGAGAAAAGCAACTTGCAGAATTGTAGAGAAAAAAGGGTTTTAGAAAGGAGAACTGAAAAAGAAGCAAGTTAGAAGACACTGAATGGTAGAAAAGTTGAGAGGACAGCTGGGCAAACCAGGAAGGAGGAAGAAAGTGGGTTTGGTAGCAACAAGGGCTGAGCAAACAGTGGGACTTCCAATGAATATCTCTGTAGATACATGCCAAAGGGGACTAAAAATTATCACGTTCAGTTTCGGTGTGTTTCAGATTGCTCTTTAGACACTTGGCTGAATGCCAAGGATTGGGGGGGGGAACCCAAAAGTATCTTTGTTACCTCTCATCAGAAGGACCATAAAGATTTTCCGGGAAGGCTTCCTTATTGGCAGCTGAGCTATGTGGGTTTTGTTTGTGCATGGAAAATACCAGACTTGGTTCTTTTAAACAGATATAAAGCTTTTTAATTCAGCAAGCCATTAGTCCAAATAACAAATGTTTGAAGTGAGGACCTTTTTAAAAGCAATATTGCATAAGATTGAGACCATGACTGGCTACTATGTATCGCTAGCACTATCTATCTAGTCACAACTAGATCAGACATTTGATATAAAGTGTTTAGTTAGCTGCCAAATAATTTTTTTTTTCTTTTTTTTTTTAAGGTTCCATAGGTGTTTCTTCGGGTGACAGGATTTTTGGGATAATTTCTTACAATTAGTATTAATTGATAAAATGAACTGACTTTGTATCTTTGTCAATAAGCTCATTTTTAAGATAAAAGCTCAATTCTTTGTTGTCTTTTGGACTGTGAAGTAAGCTCCTCAGTTAAGGCTGCTGACGTTATCATGTTGTGGTACAAAGAGGATATAATATGAAATCCCTTCTCTTAAAATAATACAGCCATTGGCTTGCAAGCAGTTAGCCTGAGGATACGCTTGTGTGTCCTGGAAAGTTGTGGTGAGTCCCATCTGGTACAGCAGGAGTCCCAAAGACCTGAAATGTGAGTTGCTGGAGCCCTGCTATGGGTGATTTCTGCTGCCATGTTGTAAGATCCCAAACCAGAAAGCAGTGTTGGAGTTAAGCACTTGTCCTAACAGTATCTTCTGCAGGCAAAAACCTTGAGCCGTTAATTGTAATTTGAGGGGTCTTTTCACATTTATTACTGTCTGTATTTTTTTCCCCAAAAATTTTAAAATTAGTGCTTAACAAAACATTTTCCTTAAATGATGTTATCCTTTAATTTTGTGTATTTATCTCATGACTGCTCATTACTGTCTTTGTTAACTCTCAAGCTTGCAGGACCAGTACTCTTAAGCCATGTAAAGCTATACAGCCTGCTGAGTCAGAGTGTGAATCTCTCCCTTTGTCTCCTATTTCTGTGCCTGAATTTTGTTGCTTGGAGAATTGCAGGCTCACTCCACTACAGAGCTAGAGAGCAGGTTACCATGGAGGACATGGAGATGATCAGGGAGCAAGAGCTTGAATGTTAGCATCAATGATGTGACTGTCCAGATGCAGTCCAGTTCAGACTGGGTTAGAATGTGTGGTTAGAATCATAGAGTCATTTAGGTTGGAAAAGACCTTTAAGATCATCAAGTTTGACAAAGTTAGCAGCCAAGAAAGACCTGTTGGATTGGTGGCACTTGACATGTTTATCTCATAACAAAGGTGCCAAAGTGCCATTTGACCTGGAACCTGACAAATCCAGGGTGCCATTTTAAAGGAGCCTGAAGTCCCTGTCTGACCTTCCTTCTTAGGCTGGTTAATAATCTGGTCCCGGCTTTTGTGCAATCAATGCATAAATATGAAGACTAGGAGCTTAAGCGATGCAGAATCATCAGCATCCCAAATTCCCTAATGTGCCCACGCCAGCTGTAGCCTCTCCACAGGAGTATGTCTTAGGGAGGAGTGCTCAGATCCGCTTCTCTCCTGTTCGTTGCCATGACTCAGAGTTTAAAGTGCCCTTCTAACTCAAGCACTTTCTTTCCCATCTCTCACTGGACAGAGCAAAGCTGGTGCATTTTTCCAATTCCTCTGTAGTGCCAGAGCCCCCCCACACCTTGTCTAGGACCAGGAGTTCAGAGGTGTCCTGTGTGCTCAGCTGTACAGGTGTAAGGAAGTCACCAGGACTTGTGAGTAGGAGACTTATTTATGTTCCTATAAATGACCATATATATATACCACTACGTCTTTTCACAGTTCTTAAAGATGTAAGCTCTGAAGGCCTCGATATAATTTTTCAGGATTTACTAAAGGCCCAGGAGGATTTACTGAGATATAAAGTGTAAATGTAGCTCAGCTCTGAAGTCTGATTGACTTGAAGGCTAACACTCTAGGGCTTGGATGAGCTTTTGAACCAAATAACAAAGTTGCACAAGGTTCCCTCATTACTACTTCTGTTAATTTTGTCACTCTCTTGAATCACTTTTATTTTTTCAGCACAAGATTAATTTCTGTATGGATCCTGATTGGTTTTCTCTTTTTCTGTCTCAGCTCATATTCAGGCATCCCGTGCCTTGATGATTTCTTCCATCCTTTTGGGATTCATAGCTACAGTACTCTCGCTGCTTGGTTTGAAATGCACAAAAGTTGGGCTGAGCGATGAAGATGCGAAAATGAAGTTTGCTGTCACAGGAGGATTTCTCTTTATTTTAGGAGGTATGATTGAGGCTCAAATTAGAATGCTATCAGTACTTTGTATTGCTTTCACAGCTAGACTACATGAAATGCACACTTGTTCTTGGTTTAAAGCTGTTACAGCCATTAAAGGAATCATTCACCTGTGTGCTTTTAAAACTTTTTCTGGTAGGTCTCTGCTCCATGGTGGCTATTTCTTGGTATGCTGCGATGATTACCGCTCAGTTTTTTGACCCATTGTACGCTGGAACCAAGTAAGTTAATAGATCTGCCATACCAAACTCCATGATGTGTTACAGACAGCTGCTCCAGAATTTCAGAACCTGGATGCATTCCATTATCCAGTCCTACAGGGGGAAAATTTTGTCTTCAGGGAATCTTTTCACCTCTAAGATGTTGCTGGGGAGGAAGAAGGGTTCTCTTCTGCAAGGTTAAGTGAATGTGTGGGGAATATCAACCCCACATCCGAGGGGTTTCTGTACTGTGTTTACATTTGCTTGTGAGACTCAGTTAAGTGCACATCTCAATGCTATGGAGAAGGTAGAAGTCTTAATTCTCTTTGGCATTTAGACCAAAAGAGGTACAAAATTCTAGCTATGGCTAGAATATAGTGCCTCAGATGTACAAGCAGATGAAAAAAATGTACAGAAACCAGCTTAAACTGCGTATTAGTGACTGCAGATAGGTGAGAAATGTCATTGAAGTGTGCTGCTTGTCTTAAAGAAGTAAAAAAAAATTCACTGTACATTTACAGCTCAACATTTGTTTGCCTTATGAATTAAAATGAGGCAAAGTTTATGGGACTATCAGCTCATACAGTTGCACACAAACAAGTTTCGAGGTATAAAAGCCCTTATTCTTGTCTGATATAAAAGCAACAGTCTTCAAAACTAAATGCCCGCTTATGGCACCTTATCTAGGTCAACAGATTTAGCAATGAGGAACAAGGGTGGAGGTGACTGGGCCTCTCCTTCAGAGAGGGGGGAAACATAATACATTGCCTGTGGAACATGAGAGAGCTGGTTTGGGGAAAAAAAGACATTTATAATTTGCCAATACCTTTTAGATCAGTAAACTATAAATCTTTATTTGCTAGGATCACATTTGAAGTGTTCTGCAAGTTTCTTCCCGAGAATTGGTTCAGGGAAGTTGGAGGTGAAGTGCTTTGTTATGTATCAAAGTACCTTAAGCAATTGCTTTGGATGTTTGTCAGTTTTTCTTGTGTTTTCAAACAAGCACTTGAAAAGAAATTGCACTTGTGATTACTTTTTGTTGTTTTATATCCCCTCGAGAGAATTATATGAAGGGTAATAAATACGTTAGAGGACTGAAACAACTGTTGATAAGGAATTTCAGTTAGTGGTATAGTTAGTGAGTTTTATAGTTACCTGGTGCAGCTTTGGGGCTTCAACATCAATGCATGTTAATCAGTTACCAAATTGTTTGTACTCAGTAGCTAAAGAAATACATTTTTTTTAACATCTAAACTTCATGTTTAAGACTACTGACTCACTAAACAGTTCTTAGGGAATTAACATTGATCATTGGTAGAGCCAGATATGCTCTTGAGGAAGGTTGTGCTCCTTGGACTCTGTGAGACGGGTTTAAATTCAACTGCAGGCCGGTATTGATCTTCACTGTTAAGAGACTGGCAAATCCAGTTTTTCAGATTGTGGGTTTCTTTTGGCCTGACTTCAGCAAAACAGTAAAGTTGACTGCTATTAATTCTTAGAGGAATTTCTCATACAACTGTGAAGGCAACCTAACATCTCCTGCAGATCCCTCCTTTATACTTTCCTTTGGTATGATGTCTACAGCATTCAGTTTGTAGGTGACTAGAGAGCAGAGGTGATTGAGTGCACTGGGCAACACTCTGATTGTTCCCTAGTATTATGCCAGCAACTTGGGGTCCTGTTTTTTTTTGAGATAATGATTATCTCCTTGTTCCATGTTTGGAAGTTGCCTAAATCAGTGGACACCTTGCTACTCCGATGTGTGATGAGAACACAGAGAGCAGTGAATCTGTGTAAACCTCTGAAACCTTCCTGTTAGCAATTAATCCTGGAGTCAGAAACTTCAACAGTTTTAAATAATGATTTATGTACTTCAGCCATATAACCACAGAGAGTGTTGAATATTCTTTAGGATACATAAGTTTGAAAACTAGCCCTGTACAAATAGCTACTTGTAGGTGATCTAGCATTGTGTCCATAGAAAACTGGTCTTTCTGGTGAGCCTTTTCTCACTACACAGACAGTGAGGCCCAAATAATTCAGTTTCACAAAATGACTTCAGTGGCACAGCTAATATGAGGGCAAAATAAGTGTTATGGACTGCACAGAAGCTATATTATTATCATTTATTATCAACAACTTATTAATTATGCACAAGTATTTATTGCTACTTTATCTTGCTTAGTACTTTCTGTACTGTCACTATTTTGGCAGAGCACTTAAATATACGTGTAAGAGTTTTGCTGAACAGACAAAAAGCCAGATCTGTTCTCTCTTATCTGTTGAAGTACCTTTCAGTTAGCTGATTTCTACGCAGACTAGCATTTATTTGTTTGAATGCTTTGTGCACCTTATGGTTCAGTCTAAAATAATGGCTTTGTGATCCAGTTGTACACTGTTTCCATAAAATCTTTCATGTTTCAGGTATGAACTAGGAGATGCTCTGTACTTAGGCTGGGCTGGATCTGTTCTTTATATACTTGGTGGGATCTTACTGACCTGTTCATACAAAGGGAAGAAAAAACATGATTACAGGTAAACTCGGATTTGTCAGTTGAAATAGTACCTGTCAATTCTATACCATTTTCTATCTGTATACTATTCTCTCTTTCTCTTTGATCCCCTGCTATAAAGCTGTAGCCATATCAGTTACAAACAGGAAATGGTACCTATTTATTCAGTGCTATGGTATGTCACAGATGGCAGGGGAAGCTCTATCACGTACTTGTACCTCCCAGACAGTGTACTTGTTGATACTTTGCCACCAGTGGTCACCTGGGTACAGCTGCTGGTTCTAAGATTTACTTGATGAAAACATGCAGTGAAAAGAGCGAACTATCTATTGCCAAGAGTATATCACAGAATATAGTGTACTATAATCAAGTTTGTCTGCAATACTCTCTGCTATTAAAATATTCAAATACCATTTAATTTGCAGAAAGTGTAATGGCATTTCCTTCCCAAAGCATATCCAATTGATCATCAGACACATATGATTTTTTTTTTCCTTGTTCCTTATGGAAATGTCTTGGTGCATTAAATCAGAAGAGTTGAGATTTCTGGCCTCAATATTTAACCTTGTCTGGATTTTTTTTCTGTTTTGTTTTTGTTTTGTTTTGTTTTGTTTTTTTCCAAACTTAAATTATTCACACATACAGAAGGTCCCTTTCTGAAGGAAAGGGATGAAACTGTCAGAAATAGCAGAGGTCCATGTCTGCCCAGAAGAACCCAAATGGACTGAAGGCTGTACTGGCTAAGCTTGAGAGGATGATAACATGGAAGGAGGAAGCATGCTCATTGCTGCTGTATTTAATCTTAGGAAAGTTATGTCAAAACACATAATAAGTGAGAGCGTTCCTCTGATACTCCATTGCCTAAGCTGAAGCCATTTAAGTTTCTGGTAATATTTCATCAGCCACATTGAACTCTAGATCTCGCTTACTGTGCTTTGACACAAAGTACCAAATATGCTGGAATATTTTGAAAATCAGATGAAACTGATGTATGAAATAGAAGTTCAACATGAAAAATGACAGTTTAAGGGGCTGGTGGAAGATGTTTCTGTTTTCCTTTGTCATCATTCCTGTATTAAAAACTGCAGCCTGCACAAGGGCATTAAGGTCTAGGTTCTCCTCTGCTTTATGGGCTTGACTAAAATGCCTCGAAGAAGAGCACATGTGAGCTAGGAACCCAGAGTGTGTTTCTGGTTACAAGAGAGAGATGGCCGTGCTGCCTGTCAGAGAGCCCATCTCCTTCCCCTTAGCTACAAGACTGATGAGAACCACAGGCCTCTAATTTCTGCAGCTTTGTGAAGTATGTGTTATTGATGGGTTGGATACAGACCTAAATGAGTAACTTCCTAAGTATCTGAAACTGTGGATGTGTGTGTAATTCCTATTATTTAGTATCTTTTTTTTTTTCTTAATTTACAGTTGCAACAAGTACGCATATTCAGCAGGCCAGGCAGCTCATCAGCAGCACATTTACACCAAAAACTCTGACACAGTCATAAGCAACAAGGAGTATGTCTAACCTTATCTTTTACATCACTTGTAACGTTAGTAGGTTATGAACTCAAAGAAGTGAACTACTTCCAGGGTTCTGGTTCCAAGTTGCAATCTTTCATGTTAATTTGGAGCAATACAAGGAGCAGGTATGGTTTTCAAGGTAAATAGGAGTGGTTTTCTGGCAATGTTTTTCAACTGTAAATAGGTTTCTACAAAAAATGCTGTGATGTGAAATCCTGCGTCATGGTTTTCCGCATACTGAGAAGCCTGGTAAAATATAACCACAGAGTGCGATGTATTCTGACAACCCAGAGCAACTGTTTCTGTATCAGCTGACTCAAAAATGCGGAACTGATATGCTGTAGCTGACTGCAAGTTAATACGCCTCACAGTTAGAAATGTATTGTGTTTTCATTAATGTTTAGCTTCCTACTTTTGTTTAGCAGCTTTAGCTTTTGACAGGAAATAAACTTCTTTATTCCACACAGACTGACTGAAACAGATTTTTTGATGAGTGGTATCCTGAGCCATTAATAAGGATATAGTCTATATAGTGTGGGCTTGAAGTCTCGTGATGTACTGAAATTCATATTATGTATGATAGTCAAGATTTATAAAAACTACGAAAAATTCCCTAACAACCACTCACCTCCAAATCTGCAGATGTGCAACAAATTTCTTGTTGGTTGTAATGCAAATACCAAAGATAAATGATACAGAAAGAACCAAACACAGCTGGGAGTGGAGAGAACATCTGTTGCAAAAGTGCCTTGTGATAACTAAGAAGATGGTAGGTCCAATTTTTTATTTCTATGTTTTCAGCTTTTAAAATAATCCTATTTTAACTTTGATCAATCTTTAACTTTGGAAACTTCTATTGCATCTGAATTGTTCAATCCATGTAATTCCCCAGTGGCCTTGTTCTCTATCATTGTTCCATCATGAGAATTTCTGCCTTAAACTACTCCACTGCTGGAGCATATGTTTGCCTTCTGTAAGCACTTAGATGATGATGAGCTAACTTTACTTTGTATTGATGCTTTGAGCAACATGAAATGGAATTTCACAGGTTTCGTAAGTTGTCCCTTTTAAATTACAGATGTATTAATACAGTTTGACAAAATACCTTAGTGTTTCTCTCTGCTTTTAATGTCTTATGATAAACACAATTATAGTCTGATTTAGAAGTTTTGTTCAGCTTCCTTGATATCCCAATAGATAATTTCACAGGGCAACCTGCAAGCAGTCTTAGCAAAGCCATGTTGTTTGCATGCAGATACAGCTGACTTGTAAACTGACACGTTAAGGCATGAATTGGGGACTGGCAGATCTTGTCAGGCTTAGTAAGTAAAGCTAAAAGGAGTCCAAATTACTTTTAGATTGCCAGTGTCATCATTTTCCCTCCACTATCAGCTATTGTTTTTTTAAAAAAATAATTCTTTGGTATTTTGGAGAATAATTTCAAAAGCTGAAAAGGCACTTAACGTGCCTGGTGGGAGCTGAACCATCACATGTCTATTCTGTACTCTGGATTTTCAGGTAATTTTGTGATGGTATTTTGGTTTAGTTGAACATGAGAAAAATGCCGGAGTCAGGCAGAGACTAAGCAGTTCCAGTGTCGGTTTCCCACCACAGATCATGTCAGCTCATGAACATGAATTATGATCCAGTAGGTGAGAGAGAAATTCAGAACTTCCTCGGTCTGGCATCAAGTCTTCTAGTGACGTGACTGGGAAGTTTAATTAAAAACCAAGAATAAAAGCCCTACCTAGTAACTCATTCATTCGGTCAATACTTTGTTATCGTATTCGGTGTCATTCAGGGGAAAATAAATGCTGAAAACACCACGCCTTTCTCGGGTTTGTTTATGGTACTTCCAAACCATTTGCTGTTTCTGCTCTTTCTGCCAGTTTATCTGCCCCTTTCCCATGCACTTCAGCAGTCATGCTCTGAATGAATTTAATGAACCATCATCTCAGTCTGGGAAGTAAGGCGTTTTATGTGTAGGTGGTACATGAAGTGATTATTTTTTTTTGGATCTGTAGCAAGCCACTTAACTCTCTTTAAAACATCTTCACACATTGCTGTTTTTCAGTCCTTTGCTCAGCAGATCAGACTGCTTTGGTATCTGCAAGTCTTCTTCATACCTCTGCAGCTGAGACCAAAATCCTGCATTGGGTTCTGCTACTGGTCTGGCAGCCTTCACAGCCTAGGAAAAAGGAGAGACATTGTAGAAGCAAGGGCAGGTATCATGCAAATGGGATTTTTTTTTCCTCTTGCACTTTTTAGAAGATTTACTTGGGTTTTGATTTGGCTACAGAATAAAAACAGCTCACCAAAATATTTTGGTGAGCTGACCTCACTCTGTTCTTGCTGAGAACTGTTGGCAGGTAGTCCCTGGATTCATGGGCAAGCTGTGGAAAGGAAATGTTCAATTTGCTGGAAATGCGAATGTCTCTCCCAAAGTAAGTGTGGTGACACCGCTCATGTTTAAGATAGTGTAGAAATTGGTCACACATCTGCACACCTCTGTCTAGTACTGAGCAAAACAGTTATCTAAATTAGAGACTCCAGTGATGCACTTACCAAGTGGGTGAAGACTAAAAGAGCGCAGAGCACGAGCCACGTATTGGACAGGCTGCCTAATACAGTCGAGGTGCTGTTACTTGTAGCTAGCTATGCCCTAGCTGTTTAGCAGGCCTAGCAGTTGATGTTTCTTTGCTGTGTTGAGCTGTCACATCAGGCGTAACAGCAGATCCTGCAAAACAACTTCTGCACACACTCGCATCCCTTTCACTCAGTTGCTTTATTCTCTAAGTTCACTTATCATGACTAAGCAAAGGGCAGGGAAAATGTTCACAAAACAATCAACTTTGCATATTTGCTACTAGTGCTTAAAGCCTATTTGCATTTCTAATTCTATTTGTCCCAGAAACCTCACATTGCAAGCTTCTTTGTCCACGTTGGGGGTGAAAAAACTTACAGTGGAGTTTTTTATTCGAATGCTGAGTATATCTATTTATTAGCATATATATCTATATGATAATAAACAGGTGAGCCCACCAAAATAATTCTATGAGAAATCATCATTACACATAATAAGCATTGCATTTCTTATCTAAAAGATGTCTAAATATAACTCTGTGTATAAGTACAATACCTCAAAGGCAGCCTTGAGTGGGAGCTTTCTGTGTCTCATCAGATAAGCAGTGCAGATGGCAGCTGAGCGGCTGCGGCCATTTTTGCAGTAAACTAAGCACTTCCCACCGCTCTTCACAACCTCTTCTATAGCATCACCACACTGTTCGAAATACTGATACAGGTCTTCAGCTGGGTCATCGAACACAGGTACGCGCATGCCCCGGACCTGCTGGAGGCCGGGGAATGGCTGCTGCCTGGTGACATTAATGCAGAAGGTGACTCCCTCTTGTGTGAGCAGGTCCTCGTTGCAGGCTGCCCTGGCATTGCTGATGAGCAGTGAGGCGGTGACCTTGCAGAGCTGGAGCATCGGCAGCCAAGGCTGCAGCGTCGCCAGCAACACCGCCCTGCTGCAGAGCCCCCAGATTGCCTCCTCTGCACGGCATTCGAGCCGCAGCACAGCCCGGGTGCGGTGGGATGCCGCGGGGATCAGGGTACGGGTTGCTTCCCCAGCAATGTGTACAGGCTGTGCTATATTTATCCCCCCTGAACAGTCTTGGGTGTAAAGGCTTCAGGCAGGTCCTAGTGCCTGCTGGATCCTGAGAGCCGCATTTCAACAGCTAAAAGCAATTTCAGAGCCTACAGCTCATTTGTAAAATAACTGGATTTGTACAATCCCTATGGCAGTTTCTTACAAGCAACTAAACCCCATCCTCCTCTCAGGAAGGCTGCTGCTGGGGTCAGCACTGATGTGCTGTTGGTGCAATAATGCAATATTGATCTGCTCGCTTCCAGCTCACCTCCACATCATCTAGTTGTCCCTCACCTGCAAAAAAAGCGTCTTTTGAGTACCCAGGAAATGATTTACTAGGCTAGCTAGATACAGCAGTGCTAATCTTTCTGGATGGCAACAAAATTGCTGGTGTGGTAGAGTTTGCTGCCAGGGCAGAGAGTATCTTACGCACGAGTGTATGGACACCCATTCAAGCTGTGAAGGCTGGGTGGGGATGGGGCCAAGGCCCTGCCCGGGGAATGCCACATCAGGCGGTGCCAGGCGGTGCTGCAGGGCTGGGCATGGGTGCCAGCTGCTGCCTGGCAGACCGTGTGCCTGAGCTTCCTCAACACTCTTCTTTCTGGCTATGATACAAAAACCAGCCTGTGACTGATACCTGCTGCTGGCACGAACATGAACCTGGACTATCACAGAAGCAGGGAGTGGAGTAATAGGACCAGCGTGAAACGCAATTCCAGCCAGTAAGGAATCAGCCTTGAGGGATGAGCACGGCTGAACTGCAGAGTAATAGTCTCATCCCTGGCTAGAAATGGTCTGGTGTGTCGGGACAAACTTTGCTGCGGGCTGCTCGGGGTTTCTGGTCTTTGTGCCGCTGCTGCTGGGGTACAGTGCAAACACCTTGTGCAAGGAGCCCCAGTTACACTGGCTGTCTCACGTCTTCCTGCCATGCCCCATCTTCTTGTGAGCTCCCTGTACGTAAAAGGCTGCTATCAGGCTCCCCAAAAGCGCCTCTTCCTTGGGAAGCAGGGCAGTGCGTGGCTGTAGGAAGCAGGAGCTTGCATCACACCCACGCCATCACCATTTCTTAGCAAATTTGCAGAATTTGTTTCCAAACAGCTTTAATACACACACAGCTGTAAGTGGCCATTATTTAAGCCCACACAGTGGCAGCAAAGGAGGTGACTGGTCTGCAACCAACTTCACTGAGCAGACTAACTTTTCTACACTCGCCTGTATAAATATGTGCACATGGTGCCTAAATAGCTGCAACTGCAGGACACGAAACTAAAGAAATACCCACTCACTCAAGGGTATCAGTCAATTAATTAAATTTAAGTGATTTTTTGCATCTAGGTAGATACACTTCTAGTAGTTCACAGTTGTCAAGTCTCTCAGACACTTCATGAGCTGCTTTTGACACATTACCCTGACTCCTGTGTTCACCTGCTTCTGGAATTGGACAGTGCAGAGCTGAAGCACAAACTTTGCTGCTGCATCAGTTCAGTCTCAGCCGCTTGCATGAGATTAACCACCCACATCACTGCAACGGGCCAGCCGTCTGCTTCGCTTGCTGTTAACCCTGCCAACAGCTGCACCAGGACAATGCCATGGTAAGTAATTAGCACAACACTTTGCAATGACAAATACCAAGGGTATTGCTGATTCCTTGTACTATTATGTCATGACTGAGGCTTTGAGCAACCTGGGCTAGTGGAAGGTGTCCCTGCCCATGGCAGGGGGGTTGGAAGTAGATGATCTCTAAGGTCCTTTCCAACCCAAACGATTCTATGATTCTATGACTTTTTGAGCATCTCTGTGAGAAAGAGAACATTTATCATACTTGCTTCGATGACTCAAGTCAGGCTCACCTTGTTTCCACAGTCCTACCTGTTGTTCCTCCAGATAACACAGGGTTGAACGCAGGCAAATCCACAGCACCAACACTGGCATCACTTGTGGCTGAAACCAAACTTTCCTTCCTCGAGCCTCCTGACTATCTGTGTCTTGACAAAGAAAAACAAGGAAAACTCCAAACGCAGCTTAAATGGAGAAGAAATAAGACTGCCCTGTAAATACAGATTTAAGTCTCCAGCCTTTTTATTTATACAAGGATTCAAAGAACATATTTCAACTTTAGATAAACAGTGCAAGAGAGTTACAAGTACCTTGGTAACAGAAAGAAATAGATAACTGTCCAGCTATGCCAATAAGTGAAATAATTCTTACTCCTGCAGATAGAAATGCATCTGTTTAAAGCAAAGGTGGACTTTAGATATTTTTGCTATACCTTAGCCCCTACCAAGCCCACCAGAAAACAACAGGCAGTTTGTCATTTGTAAATGATAAGTAGCTGTGCTCTCAAAGCCTTTTGAGACCCTCGCCCTTGGTTAAACATACACGTTATGGCACAAAAGAGCAGGCTGAAAGACGAAGACACTTGGAAATCTGCTATTTCTGGTTCTTCCCTTTCCAGGGACGGGGTCTTCTCTAGACCACCACCCCCCGTGCACCCTTGTGAAGTACGAGGTCTTTTCAAACCAGAACAGCACGGATCACCATCTCGGTAACATCGAAGCAAATGTTCCTCCCCAGCCACCACTGTTCCCCAGCATTCCCCGTTCACACAACCAGCCCACGGCAGTCACCAGCCCCGGCCATGGTTGCAGCCCTCAGCCCATGACAGCCACGGGGTTGGGGTGGGGAGGTTTGTCACAATGTTTTTGAGCAGGTGCTAGCACAGGAAATGTCATTTATAAGCACTGAGACCGCCAGGCTCTGTGCCAGCCTGAGCGCAGGCTCAGGGCTTGGCTGGAGCCATTGTCTAGCTGCTGGGTAACTATGGTTTGCTTTAGTTGAGAGCGATACCGAGCTGATACCCCGGAGGGACTCAGCCGTTTTGGCTCCCCTGTGGAAGGTGGCATGGCCAAGCGCAGCCCTGGACGGCTGAATTGCAGCAGGTCTGGGAAACTGCTTTGGGGCAACGAAGAGAACAGAAAAACTGAATAATTGGGCACCGACAAAAAGCAGCAGTGTAGGCAGAAAACATACAGAAAACAAACCCAGCAGCCCCAGGCAGCAACAACACCAACATCACACACCTGGCGAAGAGGGACAGAGCCACCAGCACTGCCCTCGCCCACCCGCACAGACCCCGGGCTGCTGTGGCTGCTCTGGCCCCAGCCCGGCACCAGGAGGGCTGAAGCAGGAGCCCTCGGGGCGCAGAGGGACACTAAAGTGGGAGCTCAACCCAGTCAAAGGGGCACGGCCTCAGGAAGGGTTTCACCTGCGGAACAGTTTTACCGTATCCTTGAGGCTTTGCCTTATTAATTTGGACTATCAGGTTTTAAATAATTTGGGCTATTAAATAGTTCAAATATTAACTGGACAATCAATAAGTTCTGGGTTTCACATTTAAGGTGTGTTCCCTCTGGGGCCCATAAGAAGCTTTTGAGGGTAACAGGCTGACAAACAAATGTGAACTGCACAGAAATGGAAACGACAAGGACTTCCCTTCCAATCGCCCATTCTGCAAAGCAAAACATTGACCTCCGCATCCATGTGTTAAAACTCCGATCCAACCCGACCACTTTTCGAAGAGAGTGCAGTGCCTTAATGACCCCTCTCCACCCCTTTTTTTTGCTTTGGATGTAAAATTTCTGCAGGACTGGTTGTGGGGCTCTCTGGAACTGAAGGCTAAACTTGTATTGGCAATTCTGGTTAAAAAAAAAAAAAGAAAAAATATAGGAACTCTTTAGAGCAGTAAAAGTAATGTGGAACTTGCCATATTTATATAAGTAAATAAATCTGTATAAATCCATGACTTGTATTTATCCACTCCTGGGTTCTGACGGGTCTAGTCTGTCCTTTAGCCAGCGACCAGCATCCTGGCTTTCATTCTGAAACCCTACCAGATCAGGTCCGTTTTAACCTTACGAGAAGGCAAGTACAGGACAGCAAGGATACCGAGTCAGGTAACATTAGTCTCTGTTTCCTGGAGATGCCAGTCAGAGCTGGCCTAAAATCTCTGCCTAGTCTGAGGCACCGTCAGCGTTAGGACCTGGCCCCAGGAGGGACCCCTGCCCCAGGGAGAGCAGGCAACAAGCTCCCTCCACACCCACCTGCCAAAACTTTTGTCGTTACCTTGCACGTGTTTCTTTTCTTCCCTTAAATTGCACATTCTAGAAACTGCTAATGTTAAAAATGTGGGCTTTTTTTCCCTTTTTTAAAAAACAGCCAAACCCCAACCCCATGTTTTTTTGCTCAGCCCAAAGACCGTCTCCTCTGGCAGGACAGAGGAGAAATGCTCAAACACTTGCTGTGCAGACCAGCAAAGCAGGAGAGAGAAACTCCTCTGCCCTCCCTCTCGCCCGCAGTACAAACACATTTGAAACTCAAACCCAACCCCGTAGGAATGAAGCCCAGTCCCTGGGCGTGCTCCTGGCCCAGCCGGTCACAGGGACTGTTGTATCTATAATATCTGCTAAACCTACTTCTCCTTCTGCCGCTTGATGCACCTGGCTGCCTGGAAGCCCCGAAGTACACAGCCCTACAAGCACAGACACTCCTACAGCTACATGAGGATACTTTTATCTTTCACCCACCACCCCCAGTCTCAAAACCCAGCACGAAGTCCACCCCACCAAGCATTCTGGGCTTGGGGCAGCCGCCCCTGTGATCCAGAGGCTGGTGTGGGGGGGGATGGGGCAGCAGAGGGGGAGCCTGGCCCTTCCCTGAGCCGAAACAGAGCTGCCGGTGGGTGTCCGACCCGCTGCCTCACCCCGTCCCTGCAGCAGGTAGGGAAGGTGCATGGGAGGATGGGGCAGGGACAGGGCAAGGGGGAATTCACTTATAAACTTATGAGGCAACAGGAACAAACACCAAAAGAAAAAAATATCCCAAACAAAACGTGTCCCGTCTTCAGACCCCCCCGGTAGGTGCTACCTGGAGTCAGTCTCCTGGGCAGGGACCCTGAGCAGGGCTCATCACTGCCAGCCTCCCTCTGCCCTAAGGCAGCCGCCCGGGGGGGGTCACTCCCTCGCGAAATGAGCTCTCACAACCAGTCACAGTGCTCCAGTTAGTAAAATGTCCCTGGTCTTTCTCATTGCAAAAAATAATAATAAAAAAAAGGATTCCTATCCACGGCTGGGGTCAGAGGAGGAGGAGGAGGAGGCAGCACAACTGTCTGTCAAGCGGAGAATCCCACTGCGCGTATTTTCATCTCTCTGTTACCTACGACGGTACTGCACTGCAGGTAGAAATTGGACCATTATTACTCTGGTAAAAAATGGCTTTCCAACTAGCATGCAAAGAAAAAATACCCCAAACCCCAACCCTTAACACTCATTCCCACTCACTTAGATGTAGGAAACCTACATTTCAAATTGTCATCAGCTACGAGCTCTAGTCAAGAAACCCACTTGTGACCTTTCCAACAAAAAAGAAATTTTTGCATTTTTGGGTCCAACAGCCACTGCCAAACTGTTTCAGTTCAACCCACCAAACCTGCTCTCGCTCCTACGTATGCCACTAGAAGTGAAGGGCCACCTCTGCCTGCCTAGGAATACAGAGGAAAAACCCAGAAGAGCCCCTGAATGCAGCACTGGAGCAGCGCTGGCGATCTCAGTCTCTCCGCGTTACGAAGTGGCGTTGCTCTCGGCCCCGTCGTGCTTTTGGCAGCGGTATGGCAAGCAGCGCTCTGGCCAGCAGCTGGGTAACATCATCGGGGCAATTGCATATTCCACGGGAGGCAGCAGAAGAGCTGCCCGCAGAGGGGCCGGCTGGGTTCGCCCCAGGGCCTCTCTGCAAAGGCTTGTTTCAGCCTCAAGAGCCAGTTTGTGGCAATAACAAAAGTAAAACAATGAGGTACAGAAAGAATGGCCCAGCATTGGGGAAGAGACCAAGAAAGAAGAAAACAGCTCGAGCACTGCCAGAAATAGCAAACTGAAACCTTTTTCTCCTCCCTCTTTTTTTTTTTTTTTTTTTTTCCTTTTTTTTTGCCAAGGTGAATTTAATATGTCCTTTTGTTGGTTGGTTGGTTTTGGCAAAGTGAAGCCTTCGGCCACAGTCTCTTTCCCGGCTGTGCTCGTGAGTTACCGCCACAAGTGCTGCGTGGCAATGAAAGCCACCAAAAGGAGGAGGAGGAAGGCAGAAGGCAAAGATCTGCTGCTGGCCCCATTGACACCGTGTCCAGACTGCTTAGGAATAGCGTGCGTTTCTGGCTGCCTGGTGCTGGGGCTTTTAGAAAGTCTTTTGCCGCAGACGTCGTCAGGACAGCTGTCACCGCTCCCGGAGCCACTCATGTCGTCACCTGCACAGAGACAAACACGGGGTGAGCCCCGACTGCCTTCCTTACTGCGGGCGATGTCCCTGCCTTCCCCTTCCAGCACCCCCTGGGAGCTTCAGCCACGAGCCCTGCCCTGGCCACCTCCTCCCCTCTGCACCCCCCAGTATGGGATGCAGGCCCACACCTGAGCTCCAGCCGACTTCAACCACCCACTGCTGCAGCAGCCGGAGACCTCCAGAGCAGACAGAAGCAGTGGTCCCGTCAGCAGGGCTGGGCTGGGACTGGGGAGAGCACCTGAGGTTCCAGCAAGGCACCAAGAGCTGCACAGCTGCCAGCTGCGCCGCAGGAGTCGGCCGCTCTCAGACAGACCCTCTGCAGCCCTGAGCCAAAAGCCAGGTCACCACAAGCCCTCTGTGCCATCAGGGCCCAGCCGCAGGGTCTGCGTGGAGGCCCATGCAGGTTGCCAGGGCTGACTGCTGAGCCTCTCGCGCCTGCCGTGGACCTCTCCGGTTCTGCCCAACTCACTTGCGTCCTGGAAATCCACATCATTCCCAATGTTAGCGTTGCCCAGCCGGTTTGTCATGATCTTTAGCTGCATGATTTGCTGGCGAATGGTCATATCTGGCTTGGTGATGTCCACCTCCACCTCTGGGTTGTTAATCTGATTCGCCAGGCCGTCCCCCATCACTTCGGGCAGGTAGCTGCGAAGGAAGGCGACAGGTTTAGATGCCTCCCCCCAGTTAAGCTCACCTCTCCCTGTTACAGGCACCAGTGATAATCCAGCCTCTTTGAATCCCACAGAAGCCACAGTTAGTGGCATTGGCTGGTGAACAGCCTCCATGTGCTGGTGTTTGCTGCGAGGCAGCCAGCTCTAGGGATGGCTGTGCTGTGGTGTCACGGCTAGTCCCCATCAGAGCTGGGGGCTCGCCCTGAGGCCACCTCAGCTTGCAGGTGGTGGCTGGTGGCCTTGCAGCATCACTGTCCCGGCAGTGGGAAAGGCTGTGCCCATGTGGGGCTGAGGGGCTGCTCTCAGGTGGGGCCACAGTGACAGTCCCCTGTTGAAAAGCTCGGTCCATTTGGGAGGCTGAGGAGCGCCTTCATCCCTGCTCCACTTAAACCCTGTGGGGACTGACACCCTGGGACGACTGAATGCCCCCAGCCCAGTAAGACCAGACAGGCCTCTGGGAAGCATCAGTTAACTGGGAGCTGTCAGCCAGCAAACAGAGCCGCGCTGCTCCCTTGGGCAGTGCCCCGGCCCACCCGCTCCTGCAGATCTGCGGCACTGCTGGCTGGCAACGATGTGAAATATGGAAGAACCGAAGGCACCGGCTCTGGGCTGGCAGAGACCAGCCTGGCAGGTCCATGGAGAGGAGCGGGGAAAGCTGCATGTCCAGCAGCTGCCCATCTCCCCTCACAGGCATCCTTTAACTGTCAGCCATGGGTGGGAGGTGTTTCTGCAGCTGTTTGATGCCACCCAGGTGCCTCCTCTCATGAGGGAACAGCACTTCAGAGCACGTATGGATAGCAAGACGTATGTAATTTTCAGCAACAGCTCTGGAGTTTGTGAGGTAAGTCCAGCCCTTCCACCTTCTAAATGCACGTGGAATTGCAAAACTGCTTCATTAGTACAAAACTACGTCGTTATCTCGTGGCGAGTGCATTTCAGTGTTTAACCCTCCAACGGACAGCAATATGACTACAGGCTTGACATTCACAGGTAGCAGTTTTTAGGGAACACTGCATTTTTGTAGACAGGGACAGGCCTTTTGCTCAGTCTGAACAACTGTGGCTGGCTGAGATGATGTAGAAGTGCCTTTTATCAAGCCCTCCCTCTCTCACCCCAGAATGGTTCTATCCTGGCACCGTGACCCTCTCCATACCTGCCCTTGGTCATCCCGTTCCAACACTTGTCATCCACTGCTGAGCTGGCCATTACTTTTTTGCTGCACAGGCTGCCAGGCAGGGTGATCCAGTAAGTCTTGAGAGCTGTCAGATTTCCTTTGGCATCTAAAACCTGCAAACAAAGAGGATGCTCAGGGCCAGAAGAGCTTTGGGGCACCCCAGGGCTATGGAAAGGACAAGGATTCTGGCTTTTTTTTTTTTACCATCACAAAGTCTGTTTTTATGCAGACAGGGGTGCGTCGCCAACCTTCCCCTAAAGACTAACTGTCAACCCAAGCACCGAAGGCTGAAGGTCTAAGCACTGCTTAGACTAAGCATTATGCACTAAGCACTGCTCTGGTACCATAAGATTAACCAGGAGAAGATCATCTTCTGGGCCCTGAGGGCGAAGCTGAGAAGCAGCCTTGGTGGGAGCCGGCAGTGCTCTGCCAGGGTGGGACGGGCAGATGTCTGAGTGGGGAGTCTCTGAAATATGGGACCACAGCAGATCCCACAGCTCGTTGTCCACAGAATCCAGAATCTCCACAGAGGAGGACCTGTGGCCCCTGTGTCCAGGCTGGACTGCCTGAGGCTGAATGACACCAATGGCAAGGAGCCTTTTCAGATACGGGTGGTGCCAAACCCCTGAGAAACTGGTCATCAGCAACCTAGGCCCCGACCCTGTGCCGAGGCAAGATCAGATCTGCTTAGGTCATGCCAGCACCTGCCTATCTGATCTTCTTCAGACTCGCCAGCAAAGGCGATCCAGCAGCCTGTGGGGTGGTCTGCCTGACCCGCAGGACCAGCGCAACAGCACGCCTGCCCTGGCACACCAGTGGGAGGGAGCTTCGGAGGCAAACTCACCAGCATCTCCAGTGCTTGCGCAGAGGATTTTGCCTCCAATGCGACCTTCCCCCGTCTTTTCTTATCCTCACTGCTGGAGCCTCTTGTGCTGATTTTGGGATTTCCACAGCCTTGGAAAACCTGAAAAACAAACCAAACTCTGTATTCCATGTTTTGATGCTATTTATTTAATTAATTAGCACTCTACAGTCATGCTGGTTTGATTTTTTTTTTCTTTCTTCTTAAGTATGTTCACCTTTCCTACCTCCAAGATCTCTCAGATTCTGGCTCAGTTGCTGGTCAGGTTACTCTTGGGGCAGGATGTGCTTTCAGCACAGTGTAACTGGTTGTGGTTACCGCTATCAAGCAAAATATTCAGCACTAACAGAAAGTTAGCACATGTTTTTGGATGAGTCACCAATATTGATATTAAATTATTTATAGTAAATTTATCTGTTTCTATCATGATTGAAAAATAAAACTCTGGGAAGAACAAGATGTGAGTTGCTCACACTAATTACACCAGTGGTGTGGGCTTCAAGACTGCAGAGCATGTGAGCTCCATTGATCTGGACAACAGACCGAGGTGGGACCACCCCAGTGACTCTGCCATCGGCACCCACACTCAGCAAATGAATGCTGCCTCTGGCCAGAGGAGTGCAAAGACAGTAGATCATAGAATCATAGAATCATT